CTGAGTGTAGAACTCTCAATTGATCTAAGCTACAGGTAAAAGCTGACAACCTACCGTCGCTTTATTAAGTAATCTTTGCTTGGTCTACCTTTCTGCCTTTGACCATTTTTACCTCCTTGGTGGGAAGATCGAGGTGAGATTGGGGCGGGTAAAGAGCTGGTACCGAAACTTCCTCGTCGCAGCCGGCCGCAAGCGATTTTGGTGGGAATGGTGAGTGATCTGGTGCGTGATGATGGTAGGTAAATTTGTCTTTAAATGCACGGTCTGCAGCAATTTCGGTTATTGTTACATCTTTTCATGATATGTGTGTGGGCGGTCATTTTGCATCAGTTACTTTGATATCTCATTTGGATTTGGAGAAGAAAACATGAATTCTTTTGTTTCATACGTGAGTACGATTTTCCAGGAATTGTTTTACAAGTTTAACTGTGCTTCACCAAGCTAGACGGTTTGCAGCGTTTTGTTTCCCTGTTAGGAACAGAAGTCTTAAAACAAAAATGGATATGGATTGTTCCATGAACGAAGCTTTGGGAAATGCAAGCTTGGAAGAGCAGATAATGTCCAGTTACAAAATTAATTTAGAACATAGCTAGCAGAGTCGCGCAATCAAATTCATTATACGTAAGCGTGCTAAAACTGATATTGTTGTCCGTTTTTCGCGTCGGATTTGATGCACAATTCCACCAGCTATGTTCTAAAACAATTGGTTCATGCTTTCAGCTGTGCACTATCGAGTTATGGAGCACGTGGGAAGTTTGGTGAACACTCAAGAAGCTAGAGTTGCCCTCGCCTATCGCCTCAGGCAACTCTTACGCTTCTTCCATGCTCTCCAAACTTCCCACGTGCTCCATAACTCAATAGTGCACGCTAAAGCATGAACCAATTGTTACTTTGTGATGATTTTTTAACTCTTTAATCCCAAGAGTGACTAACATCTAATTTCTCCTTACAATATCACACCTGAATCACACATGAAGGTCATGAGAATAAAGCAAATGATCATCAACTAAATCTCGACACTAACAGACTTGTAGAAATTTAGTTTTGGC